GAACGTGTAACTGAATTTTCAACTTGTGTATATACCATGATATTTTTTAATTCTGATCATTCACTTATTAAGAAGGCATAAAATACTTATATTTTCAGGAACTTATCGAGGCAGTTAGATCACATGCTATGAAGGCAATCGTTGTGAAGAAGGGGAAACTGAAGCTTTATGCTGGACAACCATTAACTGATGTTGAGATGGCCTTGCGCTCATTGGTTGAACCAGAATAATCTCTGTTGAAGAAGAATAGATCCTTTGTCTCTCTGGAGAAATTTTGGTGATATCTTGGCATCTATGCTAATGAGATTGAAGCTGCCCGTCCTTGATTGCAGCAGATACAAGAAATGAGGGTCTCTCTATCTTATCAATGGACCAACATAGAGCATTTTATCTGTGGGATACAATCTTGTTTTGCTTTACTTGAAAGATCAAATAGAGCTTTTTATTTCCTCATTCTTTTACTAGGAGCTACCCTTTTCTGTCTATTTATGAGGCTTGGAGATTTCATGCACAATGTGCATTTGTTGAGAATACATCAATGTAAAACATACACAACCCCACATTATTTGTGTGCATATATAATTAAACAATTTTCCCTTTTATTTGTGGTTGTACTTTTCTATTGCATCATTGTTGGGTGAGAAAACTGTTGCAGCGGATTGCTATGATGTCAGTTACCTATTATGGATTGCTAAGCTGAAAGAAGATTTCAATCAGTCATTGCAGCAAGCTCTATGAACTATTTCACGAGGCATTGTTTTTATCATCAGCATTTTTAGAGTTCTGTGATCTTTGATTATGGTCGAAAAAAATGAAAAATGGAGCCTATTTATTTGAGTGAAGTTGAAAAGAAATGAGTATTTTAAGTTCAGTTGAACAAAAGTATTTGTTGGTGAAGTTGAAATTGTTCTTGACATGAATTTCACTTGGAAGAAAGGTTGAAGACTTGTGAGTGAAGACTATTATTTCATTTAAAATACTTCTCAAACAAGTTTTTGGGAACAAAATGATAATACATGAAGTTGCAGCATGCTGCTGCTTCCTAGGCTCACTAAACAAGAGCTTTTACTGCTACTACTCTGTCTTTTATAAAGTCTACTAAGAAGAAACAATTTTAACCATGGCTTGTGCATGAATTGCTGGAAGATTAGACTGGCAAAAGTCTTGCCATGTATCTTGTCTCTGCTCTTCATTCTGTGTTAACGCCTCGTATACTGAAACCACTATACCTCTAGCTGCTTCTCTTGCCTCGGGGAGTCGATCATTGAGCAAATTTACAGCAATTTGAACCAACGAAACGAATCCAAACTCCTCCATTCCGTTCCGTTCCTAGAATAGAAATGCCAACCGTTAGTTTGTATTAGCAAAATGCTGCATCAGCTACATTATGGAAAGAAATGAGTTGTGAGTTCAAGGGAATGTATAAGTTAACCAACCATTTTAGAAATACAATCTGAAATTGAGACTGCAGCTTTTGCTCTGATTCTCATGTTGGAATGTTTCACATAGGTGTGAAGCTTATGGAGCAAAGGAAGAGGAGTCATAGACTCCACCATTGCCTCAAGTGCCTTATCTGCTTCTTCACAAACAAACTTTTTGTCTTGAGAAGCCTTCAGCAGCAGCTGCAAAAGCTGTAAAAAGCCATACAATCCAATTAAATCATCATTAGACAGTGCACTAGAACGTTACCGACTCAATAGTTCTGACAAGATCCTTAAGGGTAGATACATACCACATTTTCAAATGCATCAGAAATAGGTGATTCAAATAACTTATCACCAAAAGCTTTGAAGATATCAGCTGAAGCCATGACAGAAGTCTTGCAAAGAGCACTTCTTGGATTTTTCATTGCCTTAACAATCACCAACATAACTTTGTCCCTACCATTGCAAAACCACATAAAAATAAGTAAAAAAGAAACCCCATCTCTCATCCCACAAATTCAAACAGCTAAAATCAAACAACACATTTCCATAAATTCAAAAATGAACTCACAAAATTGGCAGCAAGAGAGCAGAGTGAAACAACACAAATCGCCTAGTATCATTCAGTGAGTGACAAATTTCCAACCAATCTTTAGATTCCAACCCTTCAACAAGTCCCTGAAATTTACAAAAGAAAAAGTCAATCAAAATGGTTATAAAATCTTTAATTTCAAGAAAAAGAGAAGAAACAACAAGAGGGTTCTCCCCACAAGCAGATCCGGGATTTAAACTTCATAAATTCAGATTCAGAATTCTACCACATCTTGTCTAATTCAAATTGATTAATTAGTGAATCTTTTAACAAGTATATAAGACGTGGATGGGGTATAATAGATAACCTGAAAAATTGAGTGAAAACCTGTTGTAACAAGTTAAATTATACTGACAGTGTAAAAAATCTTTACACTGATGGTGTAGATAACTTAAATCCACAGAAAAATAGAGTTACCTGGATTTTGCTATCTGGGTCAGCAATAGGTTCAAGATTTTCAGATGGGATGTAATCAACGATGGAATCTGGCACAGGAGCCTTGTTTTCATCATTGACAACAATTTCAGGCTGTTTCTGATTCTGATTTTGGTTTACTGCTGCTATGACTTTTGCTTGTTTTTTGGGTCTTTCAAGTGCAACCGGGAGAGCGTTATCGAGTGATCTGAGTGCCATTTGAGAAATTCAGATTTTTTTCACACTTTTTCTTGGAAGGGTTTGTGAGTTTTGGAGAATGAACAAAAGAGTGATTTTATGATTGGGATTTGGAGTTTGGGTGTAATAGAAAAAGGAAAGAGTTTTGCAACGGTCAGTTTTGAATTTGAAAATCAAAGAAAATGAAAAGGGATAATGAATTAGTAGTAGGAGATAAGAAAAGGGAGGGGACTTTTGTGTAACGGTCACCTTCTCTTGGGTTTTGTGACAAGGAATCCTAAATAAACGTTGATAATTTCATTTTGAAAAAGTAAAGGCGGGGTTTTCCTTTTTTTCTTTTAGGATTTAAGTTTATAATTATATATATTAACAGTGTATTTTGAATCTAGTTTTCGAATAACTGTTTTATGATTTTTCTAACGTTATAACTAAGTAAAACTTATTTTTGAGGTTTCTTTATGGTTAATAAAGTAAAATCGACCAGAGATATTCTAACATCTACTGTACCATTTCTTTCTTGCCAATACCATTGTATATAGATTTGCAACTGCATTCTTCCCCTTTACTTCGGAGACTGGCCATTCAAACAATTCATAACTGGTCTACCGATGTTTTGCCATTGAAGTAATTTTTATTTTTTCCAGACACTTTGGGAGTAAGAGCAACTGAAGAAGAGATGGTAGACTATTTCATCCTCACATTTGCATAGAGGACAGGTCTAGATCCCACTTACCCAATCTATCTCTTTTACTAAGCTTTAAAAATCAAGACAAATAATTTTGGTAGAAATAGTTTGTGTTTGGTTAATTAATTTGAAAAATACTTTTGAGCAGCAACTAGTGTTTAACCATTTTTTTAAAAAATATTTCTAATAGCTTGCTTGGTCAATCTTCTAAATCAACTTATTTTGAGATTTTTTTTCTTTCTCAAATCAGTTTGTGTTTGGCTAATTAATTTGCAAACCACTTCTGAGCAGTAATTAGTGTTTGGTCAAGCTTTTAAAAAGTGCTTCTAAGTGTATTTTTCTCAAAAGTATTTTCAAAAAAAGTATTTTTGGGAAGAAACTACTTTTTTCTGCTTCCCCAAAACTACTTCTGCTTCTACTCAAAAGCGTTTTTTTTTCTTCTAAACGCTTGCCCAAACACTTCAACTTTGGCGGGGAAAAATGCTTTTGGCCTTGGAGAAGCTTGGCCAAACAGGCTATAAGTATATTTTTCTCAAAAGTATTTTTCAAAAAAGTATTTTTGGGGAGAAGTTACTTTTCCCTACTTCTCCAAAACTGCTTCTGCTTTTCAAAGAAGTATTTCTGGAGTTTGGAGAAGCTTGACCAATGTAACGACCCGGCTGAGAGGAATTAGACTTGAAATGCCGAAAGTTGAATTTTTGAAAAGTTTGATCGAGGGATTGACTTTTTGATATCGGGGTCGAAATCCGATTTTGAAAATTTTAATAGGTATGTTATGTCATTTATGACTTGTGTGCAAAATTTGAGGTCAATCGGACGTGATTTGATAGGTTTCAGTGTTATTTATAGAAATTAAAAATTTTAAAGTTCAATAGGCTTGAATTAGGGCATAATTCATGGTTTTAGCGTTGTTTGAGGTGATTTGAGGATTCGACTAAGTTCGTATGATATTTTAGAACTTGTTGGTATATTTGGTTGAGGTTCCGAGGGCCTCGGGTGAGTTTCGGATGGTTAACTGATCAAAAATTAAACTACAACAGCTGCTGCAATTTTCTTCTGTTGGCAATTTCTTCTGCCAGAAATCGAGCCCAGAAATCCCTCAGAATCGAGCCCAGATGTGAGCCCAGATCGAGCCCAGGGTCGAGGGCCATGATCGAAGCCATGATCAATCCCAGGGTCGAGGGCCACGATCAAAGCCATGATCGAGCCTAGGGTCAAGGGCCACGATCGA